ATGTCTGACATCGCCCACCTGGGACTGACATCCCAAAACATAAAAAAAATTTATCATTTTTCACAAGAAATAAAATTTGATTATTAATAAAATGATAATTGTACTAATTTAGAATGGTAATATTAAATTTTTTTAACATATTTTTAATATTTATATTTTAAATCAATACATTTTCAGCATTCAAAAAAATTATTGGTCATTGGTTCTAGGTGCCACAATTCCCTTCATTAATTAATTAATTTAAATCATATATTTCTTTCTTTCTCTTTATAGTAACTATAAAAATTGCAGTCTTTTGGCATCATTTTTATCATCTTTTTCTCCGATAAGGTCAAGGAAGGCACTTTGGGGTCCCATGGAGACATTTCTCGGGCACATTTGGGGCAGTTTTGGGTCTGGGGAGGGAATTTAGAGAGAACCTGAGGGTCTGGAGGACACTTGGGGGAGCCGGGTGGGCACTTGGAGGGGCACTCAGGGATTCTGAGGGACAGTTCGGGGTCCGGGGCAGCACTTGGTGGTCCGGGGGGGGCCTTGGATGTCAGGGAGGGGAATTTGGGGCCCTTGGGGGTCTCTGACGGGGCTCCCTGGGGCGCAGGTGGTGAAAGAGCAGCTTTCCAACGGCGCCCTGTGGGTGGCGGGGGATGACGGGTAATGAAGTCCCGGCTGCAATAAATCTTTATGGGAACCGCTGAGTATGATGGGAGCTGTAGTTCCGGAAGTAGTTCCACTGCAGGACTTGGGAAGCCACTTGTGGGTGCGAGCGGCCACTTCGGGTCATCAGGGGACAACTGCAGGGATTCTCTGGTGCCGGAAAGCCCTTGCGGGGGCATATGGGGAGACATTATGGGTCCCCTTGGGGCACAGAACATGACGGGACTCGTAGGGGTGGAACTGGGTTATGCTGGAGCTCTGGGGTCGCGGGGCATGTTGGAGATGGTGGCCCGGCTATAAAGACGCTCTACGGTGCGCAGAGCGTCACGGGAGATGAAGTCTCGGCTGCAACGGCGCTCAGTGGGTGCCGCGGTGCATGATGGGCGCTGTAGTCCCGAAAGGACCCATTGCTCGCTGTCATCGTCACCAGCCTATTCCATCATTCCGGAGGCTGGTCCATCACAGCGAATGTCATAAATCTACTCAGTGCCTTCTTCTTGGCCAGGTGTCTGTAAGGTTGTTTTGGCAATGAGTACCATTGTCTCATTAAATTCTTTCATGGGGCACGGTGTACCCATAGCACTCATTTCGAATCCCAGGACAGTGTCCCAGGCAGCGACATGGGACACAGGGTCTGTCCGCAGTCATCCAGTGGTTGTTCTCACCACCAGAGGCACGTGGCACTTGCCAGAGTGGGTTTGGGATATAGTCAGTCTGCCAGACCTCCCCATACTTGTATTCCAGCCCTCGTGAGCAAAACACTCCCTGTGAGAAATGCCCTAAATAGGTTTTTGTTTTGGGAGGTCAAAAACTCTTTAATTTGATATTTCTGAGCTCAAATCCTCCCTTAATGAGTGTTTCTCAGCTCCCTAAATAGGTGTTTCAAACACCAAAATATCCTTAAATGGGTGTTTCTAAGCCCAAAATCTGTCTCAATTGCTGTTTCTGAGCTCAAAATATCCCTAAATTGCTTTCTTTGAGACTTGACGCTCCCTAATTTTTAATTTTTATTTTTTTTTCCAGAGCCAAAAACCTCCCAAAATCGGTGTTTTGGAGCCCCAAAGCCGCCAAAATTGCACTTTCTCGGTTCCAAAGCTCCTGAAATCGCCGTTATGGCCCTGAAGCTGCTGAAATAAGTTAGATTTCTAAGCCACAAAGTTTCCAAAATCAGTGTTCCAGTGCTCTGACGCCACTAACTCAAGCCCTGTGCCCTGTCTGCCATCAGCCCCCGGGGTTCATCCCAGCGCTCCCGGTGCCCTCCCGGGGCATTCCCGGTGCCCTCGGAGGCTCCAGGAGCACGGAGGGGCCGCTGGCTGCGCACATTTCCCACCCCAGCCAAGGAGCCGCCCCCGATCGGGGCATTTTCACTTTCCCTTTCCAGCTGAGAACTGATTTACGAGAAATTAGTGTAAAACCGAGAAAGGAACTGTGGGGGGAGAGGGAGGAGCCCGTGGGGGTGGGAACGGGGGTAGGCAGGGTGAGATATGACCGGGATGAGGAGCCCCCGGTACTCACACCCCAGCACGGAGCGGCTTCTTCCCAGCCTTGTCCCAGGTAGGTGCCAGCCCCTCCCGTGTTTCCCCAGGGCTTCTCCTTCTGCTCCTGAAATTAATGCTTCTCAGCCCAGAAGTTCCTGAAGTCGCTGCTTTGGAGCTCCAAAGCTTCCTAAATGGGGGCTACAGAGCCCAAAATCGGTTTAAATTGGTTCTTTAGAGCCCAAAAGCTCTCTAAATTGTTCTTGCTGATCTGAAAATATCCCCAAATCAATCTCCCTGATTTCCAGTTCTCCCGACGTGGTTTTTTTCTCAGCCTTGAACTCCCCAAATCAGGATTTTGTAGGCCAGCAAGTTCCTAAATTGGTGTTTCTGAACCCCAATGCTGCCTGAAGTTTGGGTTTGTTCAGAGCCCAAAATCTCTCTAAATCAGTGTTTGGGACTCCAAAGCTCTCTAAATCACTGAGTCCCAGGGATCCCAAACTTGCACTTTCTTAGCCCAAATGCTCCTTAATGGGAGTTTCTGAACCCCTGAGAACCCAAAATTGCTGGTTTTGATCTCAGAAGCTGCCTACATCTATTTTTCGGAGCCAAACCCATCCCTAGAAGGTTTGGAAGGCTGTGCCTGAGTGCTGGTGGAATGCAGTTGAAGGGGAGAGGCTCTGCCAGAGGAGGGTGAGGGAGGATGAGGATGGGAGGTGTGAAGAGCAGCTGGGATACCTGGAGATCCTCAACAGGATGGGCAAAGGCTGAATTGTGTGAGTGAGCAGTGGAGGGTCAGAAAGGGGAGACGCTGCCTTGGCAGCTCAGAAACCCCCTGATCATCAGGGAGAGTGGGCAGAAGAGCTCTGGGGGCAGCCTGGAGGGTCTCCAGCCAGCGAGCAGGTTCCCATGGGAATGGCAGCTGCCCTGGCATCCATGGCCAGGCAAAGCAAAGGGCTCCAGCAGCGGGGGGATCCGGGAGCGATGGCTCAGCAGAGCTGCCTGGCGGGTGAATGGGGGATGCTCCGGGGAGCTGCTCCTGCCCCACACAGGGATGAGCTCCTCAGTGCCAGCCTGGGCTGTCACAGCCGGGAAATAGCGGGGTTCAGGCACCGAGGGGAAGGGACTGAGGCCGGCAGCAGAGCACAGAGCTCCAGAGGAGAAGGCTTTGATGGGCTGAACCAGGCGGTGGCCGGGACAGCAGCTCCAGAGGGTTCCCGCCCCCACGGGCTCCTCCCTCCCCCCCAGCGCCTCCTTTCTCGGTTTGACAGCCATTTCCCGTAACTGCCTCTCAGGAAACCTGAGAGGGGGCAGGAAAGGTTCTCCAAGAGCCAGGAGTAAAGCACGCCTCTCGGCTGAGCTGAGCGAGCTCCCGGTGAAAAGGCAGCGCTGGGAGGTGGAGCACACGGGCCAGCAGCCAAGCAAGGCAGCAGCACCCGCGGCTGTGTGAGCAGGAGCCCTGCCAGGGGAAGGGCTGACCCTGGCCAGCACATTGACACCACACCTGCCCAGCCACAGGGATCTGTGGCACTCAGGAACCACTGCCCTGGGGTCACTGGGGTGGCAATCCTCCTCCAGCTGTCCTTCAAGTGCTGGTGGGATTTCCTAAAGAATGTCAGTGTCTGCAGCAACAGAAGCGTGACCCTGCCCAAACAGCACTGTCTGCAGCACAGCAATCACCAATCTGCAGCCGCCCCTGTGGGCAAGGCCAGTGCAATCACTGTTGGCCATGCACAGCAGTGACACACCCTCCTCTCAAGGCTTCCCGGGCAGTGACCGTCCCTGGGCTGGGCACTGCTGAGGGCCCTCAAGTGCTGAGTCCAGTTCTGCCAGAGGGGATTGAGTGGGAAAAGCTCCCTGGACCATCCTGGGGCCTTCACTGGCCTTTGCTGAGGCCTGAGGGAGCCTTGCTGCCCCCCAGGGCCCCCAGGGCTTTCAGTGGCTTTGCCTCATCAAGGCCCAGCTGTGCTGCAGAGGGTGGGAGACCAGTCAGGAAGGGTTGGAGGGAGACCACAAAGTTAATATTTCATAGAATTCCCATTCAAAGTCCGTTGTCCTTTCCCACCCACTGTCTACAGACAAAGAGAAAAAAATCATCAATTCAGGCCTTACTTATTTATTTAATAGTTATTTTGTCTGATAGCAAAAATTGTTGCCGTGACTTTTGCTACACATTAAATGGGAGAAAAGTAAAAAGTAAGTAGCATATTGATTAGGCACAGCCTGGATGCCATGAATACATTATGGAAGATTTGTTTGTTTCTTTGATCTTGGCTGATTAGAAAAATTTTTAGTCTGAATATCTAATGGATAATTATTTCATGGAGTGTAACTTAATACTACAAAATATAAAAATGAAAACAGTAGCTCACCTTAGCACCCCAGACAACGCATAATGAGATTTCACCACCACTCGTACATTCCTCCAGTCTTTAGCTCAAATACTGGTACTAATGTTGTATTTGATTGAATGCATAATTCAAAAAGTCTAATTTATTGGGCCTCTGTTGGCAGACCAGACTCTGTTGGTCTCTGGGTGACAGAGCCATCACTGGCAATGCAGAAGTGAAAGTTTCTTCCTTTTCCCTTTTTTTTTTTTCTGGCCATACTTTTTCTTTCTTCTCTCTTCCTCCCCCCCCCTTCATTTTGTTTTTCTTTCTCCTCCCCTCTCCTGTCTTTCCCCCTTAATTTTTCCCCCTCCAAGCTCCAACTTTAGCTCAGGATTGCAGATATGGCCCTGTATCAAATATTTTTTCTGTCTAAAGCAGTTCTCAGGGCTCATTCTAAATATGAGACAGAGACAGAGAGAACAAATTGTCTCTGACTGTGAGAGGTGGGGTGACCCATCCCTGGAAGCACAGCCATCTTTCCATGAGAGGTGGTCTGAGCTAATGTCTGTGTTCATCAGTTACCAATGGCAGAGGCACATCCAGGACAGCTCCACGTGCGCATCATCTCCTCATTGTTCCTGTTTGAGAAGCCATCTTGCTATTGCTCTGCTTTCAGGAGAAAACCCCTCAAACTCTGAGCATTTTATGCCATTTATATGCTTTCCCTCCTTTCAGACCAGAGCAAAAAGGAGGAGATGGAGCAGGGTTCAATCCTGGGAAAGCACTCCTGGCATTTTCTGTCTGATGCTTTCAGTTCGACCTGTGGGACAGCCATAGGCATCCTGGGGCTGTGACTTCTCTTGGGTCCCTGCTGGCATTTCTCTATTTCTAATCCTCAGTGGAGCTCTTTTCCTCACCCAGGTCTATCCTCCCCTTGAGCACCAGGAAAGCTTTCTTGACATGCAGCAGCTTTGGCAAGGGGCTCCTTAATTCAGTCCAGGTCCTCCTCCTCCTCTGGAACATAGCCAAAGAAAACAGAAAGTCACAAGGAGCAGACAGCCCAGGGAAGTGGAGTGCAAGGAGAGGGAGAGCAGAGCACAGCAGCGAGCTGTGCCCTGAGCAGACCTTTCCTCACTCCTGAGCAGTCCCTGTTTCTGCCTTCACCTCGTCCCTGCTGCTCTGATGGATGTGCTCAGGAGGGACAGGCGGCTTTGTTGGAAGGGTCAGCAGGGCCCTGCTTTCTGCAGCCAGCTTACAGAAGAGGATATTTGGGAAACTTCCCAATCTGACCCTTCCCAAGGCTCTCTGGCCATCACACTCCAGCCACCAGAGGTGTTCAGTGTTGGGACTGGAGCTCCTACACAGCAGCGGCTGCAGTGCCCCAATGGGCCCTGCTGGACTCCCCACACCCAGCCCCTGTGTCCTCCCTGGTTCCAGCCCAGGTTTCCCAGAGCAATCTCAGCTGTCTGATTCCATAAAGCCATTTATTCCCAGTGCAGTGACACAGGAACAGCCTGAGCTGTTCCCCCAGCAAGGGAGCCCCTCAGTTTTATCCCCTCACAGTCTGCATGCCCAAGGCTCGAGTCTGGCTCTTCCTCCCGGGCCCTCAGCTCCTGCTGGGTCTCTCGGTGTCCCTTCCCCAGCGGTGCCACCACTCTTGGTGCCTTTTGTTGGGCTTTGCTGGCTGTTCATGAGCTCTTGTCTCGGGCTCCCACCTGGAGCTCGGCTTGCATCAGGCACTGCAGCTGCCCCAGCCACCTGCACCAGGTGTGTTCACAGCCAGGAGAGGGGAGAGTGGGAGTGAGGTGCTTTCAGTTTTGTCTTTGTTACCCGGCTTGCTGCTCTATTGGGAATTGCTGAGAAAGCAAAGCAATCGACCCCAGGTCAAGTCTGGTTTGCCCATGGTGGCAGCTGCAGAGGGATGTCCCAGGCTTTATGTGAGCTCTTCAGTTTTATTTTTTCCTCCTGTCCAGTTGAGGAGGGGTTGTGAGAGAAGTTTGGTCGCAAGGGGCAGCCATCCAAGGTCACTTGTCCTTTCTCCATAGATTTCTTCATAGCTGGTTAGGATACCCTCCAGGATTTGAGTCTGAAGGAATGGAAAACTGTCCCTTTCCTTTGTGGAAAATTGTGGCTGGGTTTGAACAGCAGGTTCTGCACTCTGCAAAAGCAGAAGGCCTTAATTTTGGAAGATGATGTATGTGTCTGTGGGAATTCTCTGAGCTCCAGGGCAGAAAAGATGGGTTAGGGACCAGCTGGGAATACAATAGAACATCTTATCAACTGCATTACCTTCTAAGGTGCTGTGCTCACCACAGAGATTTTGCCCCTCTTTTCCCCTGCATTGCAGAGTGAACCTTGAGAACAGGACGCGGGAGACAAGAAACAAGGACATGGCTGAATTTCTTGGTAAGAGCCGTATTCTGTTTAGACAGTGATGGAAGGGAAAACCAGTAAATTAAAACCCTTAGTAGATCAGAGGTTTGCGTAGTATAAAAGATATATGTGTCCCAAAAAAGCTCTTCAATGCATTTTTTAAATCCTTAGGGAAATATCAAAGTGATATTTTCCTATATTCATCTTTTTCATTTTTCTTTTTCTTCTCATGTGAACCTACTGGCCACAAAAAAAAAAAAAAAAAAAAAAAAAAAACCCCAAAAAAACCAAAACCAAACCAAACCAAACCAAAAAACCAACCAAACCAACAAAAAAAAAAAAACCAAAAAAACAAAAAAAAAGAGTTCGTAGCAGCATGTCCAAGGAAGCCAGTTTGAGTCCATAAGTAAGAGTGGACTCATGGATCCCATTGCTCTTGTCTGTGGCCATTCTTGGGAACCCATGGGAGAGGATTGGATAGAATGTGTTATCCCTGAGAGAAGTGAGGCCAGTGGAGGTCTTTCCCCTGAGCATGTTGCCTGCAGAACTCCTTCCAGAGCACAGCAGAAGGCCTGGCCTTTGGGCTGGGATCAGTTTGGTCAGAGGGGTGGCCTCCTTTGACCAGGGACGTGTCCTACGCTAGCAGGGGGTGTTGCTGAGCAGGGCTTTGAGGGTCAGGCTGAAATGAATGTGCCAAGGGACACTGAAGGGGCCTGGGAGGTCTCTCTCCACTCCTGGTGTGAGGCAGAAGAGTCTCACCCACCCTCTCGTGGGTGGCTGAGCTGTGGTGGGACTGGGGCACCTGTGTGGTGCCTGAGTGCTGTGGCAGCTGAGGCAGCTCCCTGGCCCAGGAGAGCCTCGGTGGGCCCGAGGGTCAGGAACCCCCCAACACTGCTGTGGGGCTCCTGGGCCAGCTGTGGGATGTGTTCTGCCCCAGAACCTGCTCAGTGCAGTCCAGGAGTTCTCTGGGGAAAGGTCCTTGTTAAATGTCCTTGTTTTCTTTTAAATTTTATTTTCATATGTACCTCAGTTCCAGTATTTGCGGTTGCTGGCTTCCTGGTTCAGAAAGGTGTAAAAGTGATATTCGACACAATCGGTAAGTGTGCTGGGTCCCATTCCTCTTGTCTGTGGCCATGCTTGAGAACCGATGGGATGCGATGGGATGGGATGGGATGGGATGCGATGGGGTGGGGTGGGATGGGATGGGATGGGATGTGTTATCCCTGAGAGATGTGAGGCCAGTGGAGGTCTCTCTCCTGAGCACATTGCCTGCTGAACCCCTTCCAGAGCCCACAGAAGGCCTGGCCTTTGGGGTGGGGTCAGTTTGGTCAGAGGGGTGACCACCTATAACCAGAGACACATCCTACGCTAGCAGGGGTGTTCCTTGCAATTGGTAATGATTTCAAAGACATAGCACATCCCTTCTGGGATTTCCTTTCCTTTCTTTGAGCACTAAAGGAGGAATCTCACCCTGGGTTTGGCTACAGACACAAAAGGCAGAAGCCTTTCCGTGCAGGTGAGTGCCGGTCCTTGCCCACACTGCCTGGAAACTGAACCCTGCCAAGCAGGAAGGAGATCCACAGGTCTGTTTTGCATGAAGGCCTGGTGCAGTCAGACTGAGCAGTCCCACCTGTCGATAAATTCCCATTTCCAAAGGCTCCAGAGCACAGCAGAAGGCCTGGCCTTTGGGGTGGGATCACTTTGGTCAGAGGGGTGACCTTGTTTTGTTGCCCAATAGATGAAGGACACAAAACTCGGATAAGTTTTGTGCGGTGCTTTATTTAAGGGCCCGGGAGCCTGTGGACTAGTGTCCAAAGTCAGAGCCCCAGTTTCACGTACAGGTGCTTCCCTTTTATATGATGTGCATACATGCGATTCATAACAGGGTCTCCAAGAAACAGTTCCCTTTGCCTAGTGACAGACCCCTTGTAATACATTCCTTAGTTCACAAACAAAATCATAAATCTTCTGCTTGTCTTATTGTATGCTGCCCCCAAACCGGTTAGTCTTCTTACTTTCCTACCCTGGTTTAAATTTAAGTTCCTAAGACTACCTGCTAAGAAACACACAAAACCCAACACATACTATCAACGGCTACAAAACTGTTTTTAACAAACCAATTCACACACAACTCATAACTAAACTGTAATTAAACATTTCGCTAAATTTCATTTCTTTTTCTAACACTTTGACCAGGGACATGTCCTACTCTAGCAGGGGTGTTCCTTGCAATTGGTAACAGTTTCAAAGACATAGCACATCCCTTCTGGGATTTCCTTTCCTTTCTCTGAACAGGAAAGGAGGACTCTGGCTCTGGGTTTAGCTACAGGGAGCAAAAGGAGAAGCCTTTCCGTGCAGGTGAGTGCCAGTCCTTGCCTACACTGCCTGGAAACTGAACCCTGCCAAGCAGGAAGGAGATCCAGAGGTGAGGGCCCAGTGCAGTCAGACTGAGCAATCCCACCTGTCCATGAATTCCCATTTCCAAAGGCCTCCAGCCAGTCCTTTGTTATGTTGCCCATCCCCATGCAGCTGCCCAGGACCCCGGGATCCCAGGGTGCAGAGATGTCCCTGCAGTGGGCTGTTCCCAGCACAGACCAGCACAGCCTGGCCTCTGCTGGATCCCACCCCCTGGATTCTAAGGCCAGCTGTTCTCTGGCCCCTGCCCTTTCCAGACGGGATGCTGGCAGAGGAATGTCATTCCCTCAAGGGACACTTGGAATTTAGCATGGCCTGGGCTCTCCCCCATGTCCAAGCCTTTGGGCAGTGAGGAGGCCATGGGGTTCCTCTCAGTATTCCTCACCAGCTGCACTGGAGCTCCCAGCCCAAGTTTAGAAGGGCTCTCAGTGGTGCCAAGACTCCTTTCAACAGGAAAAAGCTGTTAGAGAAAAAGTCTCCATGTCAGAAAGAAAACTGGGGCTACAGTAGGGAAGCCCAGGTTCTTCCCCACCAAAATCCTGTTGGAATAGGATTTGAAAGCCAGGATAGTGGTATGTGGTGCTCACAGGTGCATCAGCCCATGAATTCCACATCTCTTTTTCAGGGATGAGTGAATTCATTTCCAAGGCTGATGAATTAGAGAGGATGATCTAAGAAAATGAGGTCTGGAGAAAACAAATTGATAAACAGGCAGGACATGAGGGAACTAAGTCTGAGCTTTTTTGTTTGTCCTCTGAATAAAGAAATAAAGCAAAAAAAAAAAAAGAATCTATTTCTGGATTGCACATTGAGCACAATGCTTCATTCCCCTGAAGTGATTATTTCTCCAGAGAGTGGAAAAAAACACCAACCTGCTGCAAGATCTAAGAAGAGACCCTCAAGAAGAGACTTCAGAAAAGAGGATAGGAGCATCCTCAGAGAGAATGGGTGGTCTCCCACTCAAGGGAGAAATGTTAGTTTCCCACTAACACCCGTCATTTCCTACAGGAAGGAGGGAGAGGGAGGAGACCAACAAGGCCCTGGAATCCGAAATAGAAAAGGCCTCCCAGGACCTCAACAATAAAATGAAAACTCAGCATGAAGATTTCAAAAAATTACAGGAGATCACAGCGGAGCTTAAGAATCCAGGTGAGCAGGGCCATTGCCAAGCAGACTTTGATCCATCTGAAGGCAGAAGCTGCTCTACAGACAAACCACCCTGTGAGCTCCTCCTGCTCAGCTCCTCAGCGGGGATGGGGAGGGACAGTCCTTCCATGGGGAGCAGCTTCTGTGATCCATGGCACTGACACACCTCCATGCTGAAGTGTTCTCTGCAGGTGCAGGTGGTCTGAGTCTTTCTTCTGTCCCTCACCCTTTGCATGGGCTGTGTGCTGGGAGTTCTCTCCCTGCCTGATACTTGCTAAGGTTCCCCCCTTGAAGTCTTGTCCCCATCTCTCTCCCTTTCCCCCTGCCCTTCTCCTGCTGCCCTATTGAAGTTGGAGGGAGACGACCCACCTTGCATTGGTCAGCCATCGACTCCGATTTATTCATCAATCAGGCACCTTTTATAACAGTGTTAATCAAGTTCATGCATATTGCAAAATCTGAGCTCACAATAGGTCAGAGATAACATACCAACCCCTCTTATGTTTCTAATACCAAGATTTGGTTTCTCAAAATTATTCTTGCTTTCCCAAAACAGTCAAAGATAGAACATCCACTTGTTATGAGAAAGCTGCCTGAGAACTCTGATGTGCAAGGCTCTCAAGGCCTTCATGCTTGCCACTTTTACCTGTAGTTAAAAATAACCTGAGAACCTCTGCTGTTCACAGAAACAGGCTGTGAGAACCTGCTCCTCACAGCTGCCTTCTAGGCCATCCCTGAAAAAATCTCCAACACTGCCCCACTCCTGGTCCCACACTGGGGCATAGTGAGCTCAGCCTTGTTTCCCTGTGGATGCTCAGCAGGGAGAGGAGCTGCCCTGAGCAGAGGCTGGACGTGTCTGTGAGCGCAGGGCCTGTGGAGAGCGGCTGTGCCTGCAGGAGCTGGTGCTGGCGAGGGGAAGGCTCAGCTGGGGCACAGCGTCCAGTGTGGGCCTGGCTGGCCCCAGGCTGTGCCCCTGGGCCTGGGCAGGACACAGAGTGTGTTGGGAACAGCCCCTGGCCCCAGGGCAGGGACAGCTGAGGGAGGATTGGCCTTCCCTGACCGTGGGTCCTGTTTGTGCTCCAGCTGCAGCCAGCAGAGCCAGGGCAAGGAGCAGCCCAGGAGAGTCCAGGGAAACCCCTGCAATTCCTGCTGGCCCAAGCCATGGTGGGCTTAGAATGAAGTGTGTGGCCCACTTCAAAGCTGGAGCTCTTCGTTTTTTTGGGCTACGGATAGCCCAAAAGAGATTTTGAAAAGGGATGCAAACTTATTCTGGCTTTCTTGTCCCCTCCCTGCTAAAAGTGTGAGGGTAAAGGGAAAACCATTTCCAGATTGTGCCTTCATGGCCAACTGGAATTCCTGTGAGATGAGGATTTCTAAGGGGGAATGAGGGAGGAAAAAACCACCCACAGGAGAGCCCTGAGGAGAGACCCTCAGTCAGGGAGGTCAAATCAGAGCCTTTGGGCCTGCTTGTGTCAGAGAGCTGGTCTCCTGTTCAAGGAGGAAACATCAGTGATACAGTGACCTTGTTCTTTCATCACAGGAAACAAGGGAACTGCAAGGGTTCTGGAATACAAGTTTAATATGAACCTCCAGGAGCTCACCCAAAGAATTCAAACTCTGGAAGAAGATGTAAAGGAATGGCCAGCAGCCACAAAGGATGTGTTTCAGCTTTTCAGAGTATACCTGGAGAGGAACAAAGGTGAGCAGGGCCATTGCCAAGCAGACTCTGATCCATGTGAAGGCACAAGCTGCTCTACAGGGCAACCACCCTGTGAGCTCCTCCTGCTCAGCTCCTCAGCGGGG